TCGTCAATTTCTTCGTGAAATTCGGAAGTACCTACCAACCCAACAGGTTTCCACCCTCAGATCAGTAATGAGGTTATGTTATTGGAATATGTAAATAATTGTGTGGCGTCGTACTATGTTTTGCATTGTTTTTACTGATTTGTTACTTATAAACACTAATATTTATATAATATATCGCTCATTTGCAAGAAGACAGGCACAATGCAAAAAATTTCGTTTTGAGATAATTAAGTTTAAAAATTTTTACTTTTGTATTTTCCTCTTATGATCACATTTTGTGGAGTATAACCACAAAATTTTAAATATACTTTAGATTGTGGCTAATGAAGCTATCCCAGTAAACTGAATGTCCTCTTATGAAAAGAAAAAATATTATATATTTTTTTTTGTTAAAGTTTTTAGTTATGTCGTTATTTGCGAAAAATTTTAGGAACAATGACAGGAATAAATAAAAAGCTATAATACATTTTATTAAAGTTTTGTATTACAGAAACCTAAAAAAATAGTATTTATTAAAGTAGTAAATCAGAAAATAAACAAAGTAATGTGTAAGAACAAAGGATGTCATTACAATGATTCGAAAAACGGTTTATACATCTTAGGAATATGGTTTTTTTGATTCAGCTGAATATTTTTGATATCAATTCCAGTTTTCTCCCTACTATGTCGTCTATTAGTCCTATCCAGTTTGATCTCATGAAATTCTTCATCGGCATAACTCGTTTTATAGAAAAATGATTTTGGATAAAAATTAAAAAAAAATCTATAGATGTTATAAAACATTAACAAATCTTACCAAAATCAGATGGAGAATCGCTACTTGACGAGCTTGTAGAGCTACTTGAAGATAAAGCAGGTGATCTTGGTAAAGTATCATTAGTATTTTCAAAATTATTCACTGCAAACCCCGTAGTATTTTCGGGATCTATAAATATTACAGTTTAAAATATTTACACACTTCCAATAAAACATTTAATTAATTGTGGAACGATTAATGAAATAAAATGGCTTTATAGAGCTTGACTTGGAAAGGAAACTTTTATTTTCCCAATTTTCATAATAACTTACAAATATCTATATCTAAATCTAAATAATCATCTAAATTAAATGCTGCTTACCTGCATAGTGATGAGCAGTGTTGCCAACCCGGTAGAATTTCTACTAGATTTAGTAGAATTTAACAGTGTTATAGTGGAGGGTGTTTGAATCTAGTAGCTGGTAGAATTTTTAGTAGATTTATTGCATATTTCAATAATTCATTAACACAAATGTTTAATTCATTTTATTACAAAAAGTTAAACCTAAACTATATATGTTTTATAATATAGGTAAACTCACCTTATAATAATTATTATACATGTTAATGTCAATAGTCGCGTTTTGTTCTACATAAAAGAGAACACTTCCCCGATACCTTAAATTGAATTTATTTCGGTTACTGAGCGACAGAGGGCAAGGTATGTCTTCAAGTTTATGTCATGTGTGATTCACAGAAATCTTATTTCAAACCATTTTATAAACAAAAAAAAACTATTTCGTTATATTTTTTAATCGTAAACTTTTTTACTTAAATTTTATAAACATCTAGTGGAATTTAGTAGAATTTCTGTTTCAATCTAGTGAATTTCTTAAAATCAAGTTGGCAACACTGGTGATGAGAGTATTCTACAGAGTTATTCTCAGCTTTATTATCAAGTGCAAGTGCAAGTGCAAGTGCAAGTATTGTTTGTGTTCTGGATTGAAAAGCCATTGGTTATTAATGCACAACACTAAAATTGACATAAAACAATAATTAAAGTATATTTAAAGGATATTTTCTAAAAAAAGGAACACATTTGGATATGCGTTACAATACATTATCTAATAAGAGAAATATTGTAATAGGTACTGTATTTTTTGTTTTCACATACAATGACACAAGTAAAAAAAATCATTAAAATAAATTAATTAAGTGGCACAAGTCCAAATAATACATTTTTTTAGAAATTAACTGTAACTAATTGATTATAATATTCTCTTGAACAACGACATAAACTAAAATGTGTCCNGTAAAATAGGGGGTGACACCTGTCCAGTTGTACACCACTGGTTTGAACCTTTAAAGCTCATATTTCAGGGAATATAAGGCCTACTATCATGCATTATATGTATCAAATTTTATTGAGATCGGTTAATAGATTCCGGAGATATAAACAAAAAATCAATTTTTTTGACAACTTCAACACCCTGTATCTCTAAAACGGTGCCGTTCCAGACCTATGTTTATAAGGCAATCACATATTATTTTAAAGAGTTCTATCTGCCCTCGAAGTTTCCTGCATAAAATTCGGACCACCCTGTATAATATGTGTTAAAACGATAACGATTTTCAAATGTATTTGCTTCTTTGATTTGTTGGTAGAACTGATTCATACGTCAAAAAACTTGATAAAGTCTGTAGCAATGTAAAACCACACTGATTACCAATAAATTCGTGAATTAATTCATGAAGAACTTCGTCAATTTATTCATCAATAAATTGTCAATGTAAAACAGCTATTAGAAATGTTGGATATTAAAATTTACCTAATACCTAATGATTTGTTTGATAAACAGTTTATGATTAATATTTTAGCAACATATTTATTATTTATCAGCAAGAAAAAGATGGTACCAATTCTCTTACATATTTTATTATTTATGAGTATATAAATACTTGATTTTAGAAGTGAGCAATATCCTCTTTCGTTTTATACACAGTAGGGTAACAATGTTAAAAACGATATATATATAAATTTCCCATTCGAACTTTTTAACGTGGCACATATTCCTTTTCGGCTTTCAATCTTCCCATGTCATTTCCAATTTCTGTTTACATTCGCATATCAGATATAAAAATCTTTAGAAACGTATACAGCGTCTTATTTTCTGGGAATTATCTCTCGTGTGTTTTGCTCACAATTTATCTGCTGTTCATCCGTGTTTGATGTTATGGATTATTGAAATATTTAAGTATATAATCGCATTAAACATAATATTGTGAGTCATTACATTTTGCAGCAAAAAAAATAGGTATATTAAGTTGACTTGGAAGTGAAAAGTAATCAGCTGAGGTAAAGTATAAAAAATGTTTAAGTTTGCTTTGTAAATCCCTATTACAATATTTTTTTTTCAATACCTATTAGAGAATGTATACAGGGTATAACAAAAATAAGGTTACAAACTCCGCCATCAGATAGAACACTTAAAATTAGTAGGGGTACTTCATAAAATTTTTTCCTAAAGTACTTCCTTGGTGAGATACAGGTAGAAGTTGAAAACATAAATAACATTTTCTTTAATATCTTTCGACTACTTCTAGCTAATTTCGTAAAATTTCGTATCCGGGGTTTTTTGGGATGAGAAATTCGAATTTATCGACGATTTCGTTGCATCTTCTAGAGGGCGCCATAAGCGACGAAACTTTTTTGTGCCACCGTGTATTTTACTTTGGGCTGGAAAAATCTTTCCCCCAACTTTTCTGCTTAAAAAGGTGCTTGCTAATATCTCTAAAGCCAAATGTTTTTAAAAAAGGCATTTAAATTTGCAAATGCATAAAAAAATGTGTTGAAAAGTTATTTGCTTTACTTTAAATAGGGTAAACTGCATAGTTATTGGACATTTTAAGAAAAATACAGAATACTCTGTATCACATCCGAACGTTGCAATGAAACAAATGAAAATAAAATACATCCAGAGCATAGCCTAATTCGTGTACATTAAGATAATAGTTAGTAATTATAATAAAACTTTGACATGTGTTTTGTAGAAATATATTTATAACTTTGATGCAAAAAATACAGTTATTGTACGATTTTTTTGTTAGTTATTGGACGGTTTAATATTAATTATTGGACACATTAGATAACTGAAATTCTATTAAAAAAACACTTTAATAGGTGTCTGACCACTTAATAAAAATGTTCCTTGTGTGATTGTTTAAACAACTCATAAAGCTTATCTATTTCTTCTTTCTCTTCTTCCTCATTTTCAATTTTTTCTTCGTCAGATTCATCTTGTTCATTTTCAATGTCGCCATCTTCATTCACTAAAATTTCATCATTTTATGTTTTATAGCATATGTGACATAGATATAAGTCGTCATCTTCTTCTGGAATGTGAATATAGTGGTTATTAACCGGACAACATTTCCTCCTCCTTTTCTGATAAAACTGTAGGAGGTCCAAATGAGTCTCGATGACCAGGATTTTTTAACCTGAATTCTATTGTTGATTTTGGTATTCCATATTTTTCTTATAAAAATCTGTGAGATCCTTAACCTGATTTAACTTCACCTACAGCCTTTTCCACTAAATCAAGATTGTAGTTCCTTTTCTGAGGCATGCTAGAAAATACCCCTCTAGGTTATACAGTAATTGGACAGGAGAAGATAATTGTTGGACACCCCTGTCCAATAACTGTACAAACAGGTCAAAGGAATGAGATAAAAATAGAACTTTATTAGAGTAACATAGGTATGTGTTAAAAAAGGATAAATAAATCACACCAAGCCAAATTACAGTTATTGGATAAATAATAAAATTCAGAACACCATTGATATAGTTATTGGACATTGACTAATTATTATAAATAATTGACGGTTCCTTATAAAAAATACACGTTTCAGTAAAATATAAGTAATATAATATAAGTACATATTTATATTGTTCATCATTAGTTTTTAAACCATCTTCATTCTTATTGCATGTTATATTGGAAATATACTCCTTATATATTCCTTAATTAATCGAACTTTTGTACATCAAGTTGGATATTTTGATAATTTTTTTCTCGGAAATGGTCGAGTTTAGGACCCACGCATGTCATATAAGGATTTTTTGTTTATTTTAATGTATTCTATAGTCTGTTAAAATAAAGGCAGTCAAACTGCTAACACCCTGTATATTATACTTGATCTCGTAGCAGTCAATATTCAGTTTTAATAAATAAATGTTTTAATATAACATGAAACAATTTTTCAGCTGCAATGGGTCGCAGTCAGTCTACACCAGGCCTGGTGGAATCTCGCGGTAAGGTAGCCTTGGAGGATATGTGGGTGCCACCGACGTTGGCCGGCTTGACGCCCGCCTACCCTAGGTCTTTAATGGGATCGCCACCACGACCACCACCAGACAGTCCTGGAGGAATATCGACCAGCAGTGGCAGGAGTCATCAGCAAATATCAGCCTCACATAGAAGATCTGGTAAGCAAAAGTCACATAAGGATATATTGTGAAATATTTGAAACTTTTCTAAAAAATAATATTTCTAAAATACATCTAATCATCCCCGTGTAGCACTAGAATCCAAAAGCACAAAATACTGACTAATTAGAAAAAGGAACCTAACACTCTTGTAATTGTTAAGTATCTCGGTCTGTACAAGATAAAACAAATCTGCGTAGAACACCGCTTTGTTGCATTCGCCGTAAATTAACAATATATCAACAAATTCATTATTTTCATACATATGAATTACTAAAATAGGTGCCTATAGTATTCGGTCAATAACCTAGCTTTTACTAGGTTTTTAGAGATCTTCTTACCCAGGCACATGAATGAATAAGATATTTTTTTATATTTTAAATATTAACAAGTATTATTTATTTGTTAATAAAAACAAATGTATAACAGTTTACTATTTTTAATATTGTTAACATTTTCACTACATTTTATAACTGAATATGAGTTTTTAGTTTTATCTTCAATTAATTAGTTTGTAGCACGTATTCCTTATTGTGTGACTTACTGCATTTCAAAGAGTAGTATGTTAATTATAATGACATTATGGCTAAAAATCACTCACTCACCAGTCCATAAAGTCTTAATAAAGTTGGAATCCACTGCACCTTGATTTTGAAACCAATTGCAAAACTGGACGAGACATCTGAGAATCAGCTGTTTCGAAAGCTTTGCACTTCGCGATTGGCGCGTTCTATATTGTGAAGTCGGGCGCCGAGTTAGCGGGAGTTAAGGGGTTTGCTTATTTTTTAAAAGGTCAAGAAAAAATGTTTTTCGACTTTCTGTCTTTATTAGGCCTTTCGAATACGTGGTGAAAACTAATAACATTATGACTGAATCACCCTATATAATAAAACAACTACGCAAAATATTCAATGCACGGTCTCTAATGCCATAATTATTTAATTTGTTTAATAAAATCTCTAGTAATTCGGTTAGTTTTCTGCTTTTACTTTGCACGCGGATGTTGCATACCTATAAGTCCACTATAGATGCTGTTTTTCTTGTTTTTAGTATCCCCTAGAATTTGACTATTGGGATGTTATAACATCCTGTATTTAATTTGACTAGAATTTAGAAATATTAAAAAAGTAAAGTAAAAACTGCAGTATTACGTATACAGAGTGTTTGTAAATAAGTGCGAAATATTTTAGGGGGTGGTAGCCGAAGTTATTTTGTGAAAAAAAGTTCATATACCTAAACATAGGTCGAAATATGTTCCGTTTCCGAGGTACAGAGTTTTTAAATTTCGATTTTTTATTTATTTTTATTAATGATTTCAAAGAGTTTTAAAAATATTGACTCGAAATTTAATGGTTGTATTTTATTTAGAAATATTGACAGCAACCTACTAGATAATGTATCAATAGAAATTAAAAATAGACAACTTGCAATAAAATATGTTTTAGTTTTTTCCTCAAAAACGGTGCATCCTACGAAAAAATTTGAAGAGACCAATTTCATTCAGAATTGATCGCGGATTTCTTAAAAAATATCAAAATGGGAAAAAGTCAATGGCGTACCATCTTTTTTATTAAAAAAATTGAGGCATTCTTGCACGAACGTTACTGGTGCAAGTAGAAATATTCGGATCACCCCAAAAAATGCACATTTATCCCTCCAAAGCGTTTTCCGAGTCAATATCTTTAAAATTCTGAAATAATTAATAAAAATAGATAAATAATTAAAATTTAAACACTATGTATCTCGGAAACGAAGCATATTTCGGCGTACGTTTATATAAACTTTTTTTCACAAAATAACTTCGACAATCACCCCCTAAAATATTTCGCATTTATTTACAAACACCCTGTATAGGTCCTTGTTACAAATAAATTCTACAAACTACTTTTTTTACTACATACACTTTGGTCGCAATAATTAACTAACTTTTTCAGCAACATACGAAATGAGACAATTTCTTTCTCACTGCCTAAGTTCTTGAAAACAATCCGTTTTATTTTCGATCAAACGGCTATATTTGTTTTTTTTATGGAAAGACGTCACTAGTAACACATGAGACCCAGTCGTTAGCTTATAACTCGAATTTGCCAAAGTGCAGCTCTAGAACTTGGGGATGATATCATTAGTCGTCTTAATGGTTGGTTAGTCTACGTAATCACAGGTTCATCAACGCGTTTACAACATCTGGTAACACCATTTGCCAGTACCATTACAAACACTTAACTCAAAGTGGAATAGGAGCCAGAAAGCTAGCTGCTCTAGTTAGATATACATATTTATGAACATAACGGAGATGATTGCTAATAAGAAATGACTATTCGCCTTTATTCCATTAGGTCATTATTTCCCAGTCGAATTGTTATATTGTTTTTTTTTTCTCAGAGTATCTGAAATTTAGAATTTATGCCAAAAAGGTTGTCATTTTATATATTTATTTCAGGTTGTTGGTTATTGTTGATTTTTGGTAAATCTAAGCAAAAACCAATTTATATAATCGTCGACATTTCGTTAATTTGTTACATCTTCAGAACACCACGAATAAATGGTTTATTACAAACACAATAGATTAATTATACAGGGTGATCGAGAATGGTTGACCGTGCCGCCTCATACTGATTTTTGATGTGCGGCATACCAGTTTTTGATACCAATACTAGAATCATGAGCGCAGGTTGAGGGATTTTAATGGTAAACAAATAATTACGTTCAAACGTCAAATAAATTAGGTTACTGTCAAAATGGAAATTCATAATAAAAATATCAATTATTTAACAAAAATCAAAGTTATTTCACAAATTAAGCAATACTGATGGACCAATAAATGTTATTATTGTTATTATTATTAAAGAGGATGACAGAATCAAATGTAGGTTTAGCCTAACTTTTCCAAAATTCTTATTTCATTTACAATTAGAAAAACTTTTAAATCAAAGTTTGATGTAGCTAATTTTGAATAACGACTGTAAGTGCTTCAGCGATTTTATTTTTAAAACGTTATGAGTTAATTTTAAAACAGAAGCACTATTGTGGCTACATTCTTGGCATCTAAGACGATTCAGCTATACAGCGATACGCTGCAAGCTGCTGTTTTTCATCAAAGCAAACTGCTGTATGCTTATAAGACGACTATTTTGCAGCTACTGCTTTCACACTTCTGAATATCCAGCGCAAGCGATCCAGCCCAAAAATTTATGCTGAACATTTTAGTTAGCTGTCGAAATTCAGGAANCAGAATAACTTCGGCAATCACCCCCTAAAATATTTCGCACTTATTTACAAACACCCTGTATAGGTACTTGTTACAAATAAATTCTACAAACTACTTTTTTTACTACATACACTTTGGTCGCAATAATTAACTAACTTTTTCAGCAACATACGAAATGAGACAATTTCTTTCTCTCTGCCTAAGAGTTCTTGAAAACAATCCGTTTTATTTTCGATCAAACGGCTATATTTGTTTTTTTATGGAAAGACGTCACTAGTAACACATGAGACCCAGTCGTTAGCTTATAACTCGAATTTGCCAAAGTGCAGCTCTAGAACTTGGGGATGATATCATTAGTCGTCTTAATGGTTGGTTAGTCTACGTAATCACAGGTTCATCAACGCGTTTACAACATCTGGTAACACCATTTGCCAGTACCATTACAAACACTTAACTCAAAGTGGAATAGGAGCCAGAAAGCTAGCTGCTCTAGTTAGATATACATATTTATGAACATAACGGAGATGATTGCTAATAAGAAATGACTATTCGGCTTTATTCCATTAGGTCATTATTTCCCAGTCGAATTGTTATATTGTTTTTTTTTTCTCAGAGTATCTGAAATTTAGAATTTATGCCAAAAAGGTTGTCATTTTATATATTTATTTCAGGTTGTTGGTTATTGTTGATTTTTGGTAAATCTAAGCAAAAACCAATTTATATAATCGTCGACATTTCGTTAATTTGTTACATCTTCAGAACACCACGAATAAATGGTTTATTACAAACACAATAGATTAATTATATAATTATTGATTTTAGAGTTAATTCATAAAATATTTACTTAATTAACAATTTTCATTTTCATTTCATTTTAGATTTACTAACTATTTGGTACTGATATTTTAGAAACTATTACTACACGATCAGAGAATTTTTAAATTTTTTTCAATATAAAAAGTTTCAAAAAAGTAATAATAATAAAATAGACATACATTTTTTTAAATTGTTGTCACTTACAGAATAGAATAATACAAGCCCTAAAACATATACTCGTAATTAACTTATATCAAAGATTTCTCGAAAATACACACAGTAACACTAAATTAACTTTTTGTAAGATGCAATGTCAGTAAAACTATAAACATCATTAAATAAATTACATGTGTTTTAGAGGGGTCGATACATGTACCTATGTAATTAGTTTTAGCCGTTGGAAGATAAAATAAGTCGATTGACGCGATGCAATATGTGTGCATAAAAATTGAGCTTTAAGAGTTGAGTGCAGTCAACAGTATTATGAATAAGCATATAAATATCAAATGGGTCATTTTACTATGCTTAAAGAATTTACCGGGAAACGAGACAATAAGAGCTGTCTTTTAGGTAGATCATCAACAGGATAAATAACTGCTTTATTGGAAACGAATTTAAAAGTGACGAATTTGTTCAAGATAGCCAATGTAAATTCTATAATACGAACGTCAGATTATAGAGACGTATTTCAAAAATTACCTTACGAAACAAAAATATAACAATTTGAATCTAATTGCTAACATTTTTTTTGATAAACCCAAGATTTTTATATGGTCTAGTCTAGATAGAAATAATATAATATGTAGTTGATTTGAAATGTAAATAAAAATTTTCTATCCAAATTAACTAATAATATATGTAATATGTAAATAAAAGTTTTCTATCCAAATTAACTATAGATATTATATAAAATTAAAAAACTCTCCGATTTTGTTAAATTAATTCCTAAAGCTTCACTATGATGAATGCAGACTGTTTCGAGAAATTTTCTGATCTAAAGAAGCCATTATGATTTTTAATTTAAGACTGACAAAAAGAAACCATAATTATTCTGTCACATTTATCAACTCAAAACTGTATAGGTGATTTTGGATATTTTATAGATTATTAAATTTTTAAACAATCAATATGTAATTAGCTTATTTTAATTATTTTGTTTGTAATAAAATGTTTAATCGTAGAATTCCTGGATGCTGTAATAGAACAAGTAAATGTTTTCTTTCCATATTATTGATGTATTATATATAAGGTTTCTGAGTATGAAGTTTCTGTTTGACGTCTAAGGGATCCTTAGTAGATTTTCGCATATTATTAAGAAACTGATAAATTTAGAAATTTCAAAATGTGATGTCTCAACGAAAAAAAAATAAGATATTTGAGCAAACTCAACGGCATTCGAAAGAGGGAGCCTTGTACTTTTAAATTATATGATTTTTTTTAAAAAAAAGAATAGATGGCATTACTACATAACCTCAAATATGACGAAAAACAGGGTTTTTTGCACTTTCAGGTTAGGATATCTCAAAAACCTGACGTGATAGAGCAATTCTGCGGCCAGGTTCGGATTCAGCGCACCAAAATTCTTCGGGAATGCAAATTAGTGTGTCTGCTTCTTGACCCTTGTTGACCTGTGTTATTGGTACAAAACAAATATTAATAAAGAACCGTTATAATCGTGATCTGGGCGACGTATCGTATATCATGCGATGGGCGATGACAATGCTGCTCCAATTTCTGCTTCATTCATTCCCTTACGCCGTAGCTTACTACGATGTTCGCAGCCTCGTTGCCATGACAACCGCCGTAAACAACGCTACGAAGAGAAGCAGATATAAACTGTTTTGAATCAGCGTCACTTGCATCTTGCATTATACTATACGTTGTATGGTACGAGGTTGATGTTCGCGCTCAACGAAGGCAATGTTTTTTTAGAAGGCGTTCACCGCGCAACTTTCTGTTTATTTCTGCTTATAAAACAAATAAACACAATACATTTCCAATATAGAATTATACCTAAATTATAAAATTTATATAAAATTAAAAATAATTTTAAATTGCACAACCAAACGGAAATTTTAGGTGAAGCGGTGCGTCACCTGGCGAGACACCACTGTAATATAGATACACGACAGCTATTTAAATAAATAATTTTAATTTCAGGGACGACGTTGCAGTGCGACAGCATGACGCAGCTGGTGTCCGGGGTGGCCACGCCGCTGCTGGGCTCCCACGAGGCCCTGGAATCGGAAATCAAGAGGCTGCGGGAGCGCCTGCACACCGTGGAGACGGAGAACGCGGCGATGAGCGTCAAGCTCAACCAGCAACAGTGGGAGTTGGAGAACCGCCTCGCGGAAATCGAGATGCAGATCTGCGGGTCGCGCTCCACTAGCAGCCTGGGGGAGGAAGAGAACGAACGGAACCGGGAAAGTATCATTTAACGACAAAATGCGCTGCCTTACCAAATACTGCAAGCATTTGTTCAATATATTGTGTAACGGCGGCGACGAGCGACAATGACTTTTAAAAACGATTTTTAGTGAATTTTTACTATTGTTACATTGAGGACATTTCTAGTGACACAGTTCATCAAAGTGACTGCCATATTTTATGTAATTTACGTTAAGTAGCGCTCCAAAAGGATAAAAATTGCGAGAGCTGGACTTATCAAGTTCAGTCACTTCGTTATTATTTTTACATCTAGGTTTTAAAGAATGCTCCATTTTTGATTTTGTTAGTGATATGAAATAGATATTTCCATCCATTTTCTCCATCAATTTGTTTAACTATTACATTGATTCCGAAGGCTAAAAGAAATGATACCTATTAATAAAATCACTTTCATCTAACAAACTATAATGAGATAGATGAAAATTATACCATCATTAAATAACAGAAAAATTTAATAATGCTGATAATAATATCCTTGCTTTGTAAATTGTAACATCCCCAGTTTACCTGGCCGTAAACTTATCGTACATATACTCTTTACAAAAATGTTTTTGCCAACTTCCAATCCCGCAAATGTCTTTTCAAAGTGTAGAAGAGTATTGGGTATATCATTCATAACTAGAAAATAAGAGGCAGTCATTGCGCATTGGAGTGGAAATACTCGTATATCGTCATGATACGGGGTGCAAATTCAGGATACACATCCCAACTAATACAGACAGTGGCAAATACTAATATCAAAGTTTTTGTAAACTAGAAATAATTAGGATTCGTGTAAGAATATCTTCTTGATGAGTGGTGACAGTCATTTGAATTTTTTGCAAAGAAAACATTCTATAAAGGTCTGATTACTACGAGAGCGTTAAATCTTAATATTAAAGAGAATTTTCCATGGTTTGTCAATTTAAAGCATTAGATAGCTTAAATAAACTTTAGGGTAAGAACACAACACCCTGACTACTTTGAATGACACTAGGTAACATTAAAGTTGTGTTAGAAAATGAATGACATATATTATTATTATTATCCACTTTACTTTAAGAATAATTACGAAATTTGTTCGCTTTTGGGCCTAATTAACTACCAAAAAAATCTTTCTGCAGTTTGGTGAACAAAACGGAATAATTTGGTTTCGTTAGTTATTATAATTTAGTTGCGGTTACGTTACTGTGATGATAAATGCTACTAGGAATCTCTTTTAGGAAACTCCGGCCGATTATCCTTTGGAATGTCAATAGCCCTATACTGGCATATTTAAGCTAAAGTTCGTGATATGGTCTATATGTCCAGGACTGAAGTCAAAAAACCTATTTGATTCTACTGCTTATACACACTAATGTCTAGACACACCGAATCCATTTTACTTTGAGGCATGCGCATTTCTTATGTGACGTAGGCCAGATATAAATAATGAAGTCGTTTATACAACTTAAGTCTTTTTCGTACGTATTTTATAGAAAAATCCTACCGAACCTAACCTATTCTGATGCAGTGTAAATATAACGATAGGCAAGATCAGACTGTTCTTCTTTTCCTTCATTAAAAATAAAAAAACTCGAATGAGGAAAAGTATCGAAGCAAAGTAGATTTGATGTCTCGTCTCTAGACACTGCTTTCATACAAACTTTGATATTTGAGCTGTTGCAATCATATTATACGAAATTAACGCCAGCAGACTCGCGTTTGTCGAGCTTTTCAAATAACATTTGCGGGATCAGAAGTTTAAGAGGATAAGGAGGTAATTAAAGTGGTGCAAAGTTGATTAAATGCTGCACCAAAAACTTTCTTGTAAAGAGCGTCCACATACAAGCTTATGGACAAATAGACTACGTGTGTTTTGAAGCAGTAGGATCATGTCAAAATGTAACACATAATATAACGATTTTCGTAACAAGGACCATTAAACATTTCCAGTTTTTTAATGACTTAAACAATAACAATAACACTTTATTTGTCCAACAGTATCAGAAAGCTTTCCTAAGACAGAGATCATACACATTAAAAAGCGGTACGTACTGTTATTTTTTATTTAATTGGTATGGTCTTTATTGCACTAATGCTCCATAAATTTATGTACATGTTTGATGAAAGCCGGTAGTATGACTTCTAAGAATCATTAGTATTTGAACGTATCTTGTCTGTTATATCCAGAGTGCTTGTAACTCTGAATACATCGATTTATTGGCAAAGGTTTCACGTGTTCAAACCAAACCTGCCGCTGAGATGCAATCCGCATACAACTTATTGAAATACAGTTTCTCGGGTTGTCAGTAGTCAGTAATTGGAAAAACAAAGACCGTTTTGCATAAATGCGGTTGATTTTTGTTGATACAGCCCTCAATTTCTTCCTTCAAGCCGTGGGTGGTAAATCCTGTGATTTGGGCGGCTAATTCTGATCACCAAAACTGAAAATTACACTATCAGGAAATGGTTCATTGAATTGTTTCTCGGGTTGTATGTTGTATGGCATGTGGCACCGTCTTTTTGAAACTACATGTCGTCTACATCCATATCTTGCAATTTAGGCAGAAAAAAGTGGATGATCGTGACGTGATAGCGAGCGCCATTGACTATTATTAGCGAGCCATACACTTTTTTTTGTGACGCTGTATTTAGTCATGTGAAAAAAATCCAATATAACTGCTGTACATAATAAGACCAAAATATAGTGAACTTAGATTCAATGAAATTGAATAAAAAAGTATATATATTAGTAACGCAGAATGCAAATTTCAGTTTTCTAAATCACTACATATTATAAAACAAAGTCCTCCGCCGCGTCTGTCTGTCTGTCTGTTCGCGATAAACTCAAAAATTACTGCACCGATTTTCATGCTGTTTTCTCCAATGCATGGACTGGTTCTCGAGGAAAGTTTTAGTATATAATTTGTTAAGTTTTTGTATACATTAACGATATTTGTTGTAACTTTTTCAATTTCTATGAATCTTTGAAGTACGCAAAAAAAAGTTAATTACTGCAGACTCAGATTTTCGTTTTAATGTTGTGATTCTAAGAAACCATCATTTCCATTTTCCACTTCAATGGGCTCATTCAGCATTTTTTTTTATTTGCGTTACGAAAAGATATTGCAATTTTAAGGTTCTCTGCAAAAAACTAGAATTTTATATCGCCTGCAAGTCGTCCAAAAAAAATCATAAACTGGCGCGCCGAGTATCCTCTGAACCGGCCGGTGTGACGTCACCGCATGGGAAACCGATGCCGCATGCTTGCGTGTATTGTCAGTCAGTCGGGTAGTCGAGTTTTACTTGCATGTTAAGTTTCGATTGAGTACGGTAAGATATCGAATTTTGTTAGCAATATGGAAGACACAGAACAGAAAAAATTACAAATATTTTATTGTTCCCCAATGTGAGAGCACTTGTGTGAAGACGCCTACGAAAATAATAATGTCCACGTAATTCTGTCGTCTATAAGTCTCTATACTTTGATTTGCTTTTTTTAATATCTTTTATTTGAAAAATGGCTTATTTTGAAAGCGACAAAACTACCCTGCGTAATTTAGGTATGTAATAAATACGTTTGATCCTCTAGAAACACTATACACTTGTGTTTTCCATTGTTGATTTTTTTGTAAATATTATACAAATACCTAGAGGTATGTATTTATATAAAAATACATAATAAATATTATATTATTAATATATTTATAAGATATTAGATAGATTTTATGTAGTTTCCATGGGAATAAAAATAGTAATAAGAATTTTGTATTTGATTAGGTAAATCTTTGAAACCTGTGACAGAAACGGTTTCGTCCAATTAAACGCAAAATCCTTATTCTTTTGTATTATTCTTATTTACAAAACATCAAAACTTTCGCTACATACGTACTTTAAAGAAACTTTACACTTCATTGAAACGTAAACTTTGCACTTTTACTCCTCTCATCTCAGCACTGATAAAGTCGTGGTTTTTATTTAAAAAATCCATAACCATTAACAAACCTACTTCTGTCTACCTACCTACCTTTTTTTAGATTTACGCTAAAACATTCTGTAGAAGCAGAAACTCATTTGGAAGTAGCGCCAAGCCGGCTGACCGTCCCTTGCGGTGACGTCATTGCATTGCCACGGCTGATACAAATATTTTAAAAATCATACAGTTTGAAAACCGCCCAACTGATTGAGTTGAAATTTTCAGGATCACCTAATCATGAGCAATACTTTGTGTAAACAAATTAAGAACTTTTCGAAAATTTATTGAATGGCCCCATTCTCTTTGCTCTTAGAGCATGAGAGTAAATCTATTCTGGACAAAACGAGCACCTTCTAAGCTTTACAACGATATATTAAGGACTCAAACATATTAAATAATGTGCCAAAAAATATGATAACACAGAAAGTTTCAAAGGAAGTTAGACTGTTTTTAAAAACCGTAACATTGAAACGAAAGTTCACTTTTAAATTCATTGCAAACAGTTATTTTAATAAAGTTTTTACGGATTTCAAATGTTCATATAAAATAAATCTCTATTTTTCAAAATATTTCAAAAACCGTTACAGCTAAAGCAAGTGCAAGTGCAATTAAGTTAGTAACAGAATAATCTAAAACTATACTCATTTAATCGTTTGTCTACCTTTTATAGTTTTCGCGATCCCAATCGCCAAAATGGCCCACATGGTATACTTGTTAAAAAGTGCAACTAAGTCTATTTGCTAAAAAACTAATTTTTACTTAAAATTTATGTAAATATAATTGAACCTAAAAATTTAAAATTATAGTTTCTAGAATATTGTATTATATTTGTCGTGAACCAATTGTTAATTATTACAATCAATTATTTTGCCATATTTAGCCCTGTGTGGCGCAACATATAGAAAAGGCGATATATGGTCACTTTAAAGGAAGTAGGACTCTTTTCTATGGAAAGTGATGAAGATATTTTAATTAGAGGTGCTTATCCCGGAATCTTAAAATCCCGAAATCCTAAGCTCACATTAAATATCCCATCCCAAAAATCCCGATATT